ACACCACAGTAGGCGTTCATCCAAACAAGGGGATGAGGACGTGGTTTTTGGATCGAAGTTAACAAATATTAAATTTATTAAATGAATTTTTTCTATCCATTATTTAAGTAAATTCTGATTCAGATAGTGCGCAACCACTGTTGCAACCTGTGGTAAGCAGGCAAAGTTGCAAGAGTATAGCGATGGGTTTGCAACGAGAGAAGCACGCGAAGTGAAGCAATATATTATTAGTGATAAATTGATCATGTAACAGCGGAAGCCATACGCAACTGGTGTTGCATGTTTCTTCGTGCCTAACATGCGGCAATAATTAGTTCAAAAATCTAGATACACTAACTTAATGAAAAAGTTTTTACACCAGAAATAAGTCTGCTGTAAGGAACAGTGCACGGTTTCAAGCCTGTTCGCTGTTTGCCTCATTTTTCGTCCATCGCTCATCGTCCGCGGTAAAATCGCGCTTAGCCGACTGTGCTCAAAGACGATTGGATGGCAGGAGGATAACACCAGATGGCCGTAACACATTCAATGACGCAGTACTTTCACAAGATTTAATTACAAACACGACGGCGCAAATGGCCTGTATAAATAGCCAGCTTAAGCTGGTATTTTCGGTAACGAGGCGCGGCTCGAAGCACACTCGTTCGCTGAATGGGAGGCAATTGTTACTGCCGAACCTCTGAACTGGTCGTGCCGCGTGGACGGCGCCGCATAAACGCCGAGGGAGGCATGGGCAGCCGGCGCCGGCCCATAGACCGGTCAGCCCAGACCAGGCGTGCTCGCGCGAATGAAGCGGCACTGAGGAAGGTGGCACGGCTAGTTCTTTGTTTACAACCTCGTATGAAAGAGCACGTTTCGTCTGTTTCGTTCGAGGTGTGCCGCGCCAAGGGGCACGTACGTCCATCGCCTCAATAACGAACGTTTCATGACCACACACTTATAGAGGTGTACCTCTGCACATATAGCCACAAAGCACGCGGCAGCTCCTCAGAAGACCGTCGATTAGTGAACTAAACGCAGTCCAACAGTTTGACGCCTCTTGGATGATGTCGCTTAAATCAAGGCTAATCGCTCTGACAGTATAACGGTTTCGGCTTGTAGCTTGCCATTCAGTACGTTAACGGGATAAACAGCACGAAACTGTGGTGGTGATAAAAAGTAGGGCAAGCAATTGTGGCGATTGGTTTGTGTTCTCTCGTTCTTCTACAGGCAAAGTATGAGAGTAGAATCTATGCAGCTGATTTATTGCGAGAATGTTCGACCAGCGGAGAGGCCAGAGCCTCAGCATATTTTTAACGCGACGAAAAAAGAAGAACGCGCAGGAGTCGAGCAGTTGTCTTTCGTCATTCACTTGGTTTCACTGGTTGCAACAAAGAACGAAACTGATACTTGACTGGTCCAGAGGCAAAATAAACTCCTCCTTATTAGAACTGTTCCTCCGATGGTGCAAGCACTCAGCGAACATTACTGGTCATTCGATTTTTAGCTTCAAAATGATCTACTAAACAACGTGGCATAAATATAAGCATGTCGATAAACAAGTGAGGTAAGAAGCAAGAAAACGAGTACAAATTGTAGTTATTCGCTATGACAAATGAAGCAATTAATCTACCTTTCAGCGCAACCAACTGAAACAACAGCCAAAAAAGTTGAAGGCAACTACGAATTATTAAACACGAACAAATGATCGTGTGCTGCGCGAAAGCAAAGTTAGTTGGAAAGCGAAAAACAGAGTCAGTCTTTTAGCAACTTAGCAACTAAACATTAAATAAGGATTGCGGGTGATTTCTCGCTATGTTTGAAGTCCATTTTGAAGTCATTGAAAGTATATGAATTGTGATAAAAAAAAAAGCTGTGGCACTGCTGAACGCGACTAGTGAAAATATCATCCCCATTTCTCCGTTTGGCAGTGCCTCTCGTTGAATGACATATGTAAATATCCTTTTCGGTTCTTGTATGGCAAGCCTACCTGGTGCGTTCTTATGAGTCACCTTAGCAAAAATGAATGACTGATAGGCTGAGTGTTTAGACTGAACTTTAACAGATAAATAGGAAGCAATTTGGAGATGAAAACAACGATTGCTGCAAGCAGCGATGGCAGTAAACCTGCCAGCGCTACGAAGACACGCGAAACTATTACATGGCCCTTCGGAAGTCTGCAATCATGCACTTTCCTCAGCACGGAGAAAAGAAAGGAAAAATTTGTAACTGCTCCGATGTCGGTCTTCCTTACACTGTGATGGCTGGGCACCGTGTATGGAAGAAATTAAACTTACACTGAGGCGCTAGTCTTCTTTTCCGTCCCATCCACCAGAAGTGCATCAGTGTTCTTATTTATAAGGCTATATCCACAAGTTAATTACCAGTGTAACGTGTTGTCTCCATGTTCTTCCCACGACGTGGTACTCATTATTTGTCTGGAAGGAAAGAATGGGAGTGATGAGACTGGGCACAAAGTAACTTCTTTGCCTGAATCAGACGTTCGATTGGGAAGCAGCCTTGGCTGAAGCAGGACATGAGAGCGGTTGTGGCGGAATCGCAGATTAAAGATTTTGGTTTTTTTAAATATATTTTCATTAGTGTCCCGGGCAAGAAACAACAATCACATGTTGCTAAATGACAAGACAACAACAAATAACACACACGAAACTAAAACGTTACACAAAGAGAGGACCATTTGGAAAATGCGTTGTTGTAGTGCAGAAGTCTCTTCCTACATGCGTCGCTTCAATAATCTGCAGCTTGTTAAACTTTTAACTGCGATGAAAGTCATGGATTTCCCTAATAATGAGGAAGGCCTCTAAATGATAGAATCTTTTCTAGAACTTTCCATAGTTATTTGAAGGAGTAGCAGATGTTTTTTTCAAAAAAAGTTTCCTATGAATCTTGAAGGAGGGTGTAGGACCATGACGAAGTTTACCATGACATTTAACCACCTACCTCTCACGGTTTTGAGGTTGCCAGACGTTATATTTTGTTTTTATCCTCAATTGTCACTGTTATTTAACTGTTTCGGTAGTTTAGCGAAATGCAGCTCTTTGAACGAGCTGGACTTTGCTCCAGACACGGGTTTTCTTCTGTCGAAGCTCAGAGGCTGACACGGGCTTGGGAATGCTGGATAAACTGTCTGACCCAGCTGCCTCGACTACGGCTACGGGAAAGGACAATGCACGACCGCTGTTAAATTTCGAGTGAGATGCACAACGAACTTGTATCTCAAGACGGCAAGCCACCTGTCTGTTAGGTCACCCGCTCCTCCATTTGAAAGACGGGCTTTATTTGAGTACTGAGTTTATGGATTGTGTTGGGAGC